ATCTTTTATCTTGAAAAACATACGGATGCCGAGCGATTATTTTTTATCGTAACGGAAGTAAGATTTTTTAAGTTAATTTTTTAATTTCTACACAGACATTGTTTTGGAATAAAATTGTGTAAATCAAGGATACAATGTTTCTCATCTTTCGTATTTAAAATCAATCAAATACTCAAATCTGGCGGCCGCCATAAATCTGCGTGAGCGGATCTACTTTTAAAATATTGTTTATTTGAATTCACGAATCGCTCAGCCGTCAGTTAATATAAAAATAGTAATACCACGTTATCGCTTGGATACGTGCACTATTGTTACCATTAATTTAGTTTGATACGGGACAAAATGTTACATGATAAACTTCTGTTAAATTTTTAAAACACATTTTCGCTCTCCACTCGCGACTCTATTCGCGCGAATTAAAAAAAAATAGCCTGTGTGTTCTTCCAGACTATGTTCTATATCTATGCTAACTTTCAGTAAAATCCGTTGACCAGTTTTGGAGATACAAAGTAACAAACATCTAAACGTTCGCATTTATAATATTAGTAAGATAAAAAAAAATCTGCAAAATGGGCAAAAGGCCCAAAATAGACAGAAGTGGAGAAATTTACTGGGCCAGGCCCAGGCCCACCCGCGGCTGTAGTGCCTCAGAAGAAGAAGAAGATAAAAAAAACGATTTCTCTCATTGTTATATAACGAATTAGCTGTTGCTCGCGACTTATAGCCTTATAGCCTATGTTATTCACTAATAAGGTAGCTTTTAAATGATGAAAGATTTTATGAAATCGGTTTAGTAGTTTTTGAGTTATTACAATACATATAAAAATGCAAAAATATTAGTTCCTCTAGATAACCCTTGTTTTTTAAAAACTCCACTTGTTAACACAAAATAATAGAAAAAAACAACGTAAACACGTTGGTTTGAAATGTACGTCTATACTTGAATGTATTCATCTATGGAAAGTCTCAAAAATAATAAACTCATGGTCATCTTATATATATAAATAACGCCCAATGCCTCTCTGTGCGCTGAGTGCTTTACCGCGCGATATCTATTGAATTTTTCACTCATTAAAATAATTTAAAGACCGCTCTAATAACGACGTGTTTATATCTCTTTTAATATACACTTTGGTTTTTAAAATCCAACAAATATGCGAAACATTTATGGCGGGAAAAAGTTGTAGAATATCAAGCTTGTATTTTACGTGAATTTTTAACTCTATGGTCAGCTTCGACAGGGAGGTCTAAATTTAGTCCCTTTTCCTTTCCACTCTTTTAAAAGAAAAGGATGGGAAGGAAAAATGGATAAGACAGAGGAGACGCACAGGAAGGGGAAATATCCTCTTTATGTGCGTCTCCTCTTCTATCAATTTAGGGTAAGCAACGCATCTGCAATTGCGGATGTCTATGGGCAGCGGTCGCTTCGCGATTTCGGCGGATTAAGATGGCCGCTTGCTCGTTTGCCACCTTTTGTTATTAAAAAAAAGCTTGCTATTTCCATGATTGGTGTTCGAATGCCCTAATTCAGAGAATAGGCCGCAGTTAACACGCCACTGTGCAACACAGTGCATGCTGCACTGCTCTAAAGCACAGAATGCACTTACATAGGTGCACCCAAATTACAGCCACTCACCAGATAACTAGTTATATATTTTAAGAACCCAGGATCAATAGACAAGTCCAGTTAACCACTGGACCATGGACACAAATTACTGTGATTATAAATGAATTATTTGTTCCAGGAAATATGGATATGACTCAACATAAGAATTCCGTTTTCTTGATTACAGTAACAATTCTATCGTGGATATCAACGGG